TGGGCTGTATAAGTAGGGGCATTGCCAGCAGATCGAGGAACGTGATCGTTCCCCTTTATTCGACATTGGTGAGGCCTCATCTGGAATACTGTGTCCAGTTTTGGGCCCCACACTACAAGAAGGATGTGGAAAAATTGGAAAGAGTCCAGCGGAGGGCAACAAAAATGATTAGGGGGCTGGAGCACATGACTATGAGGAGAGGCTCAGGGAACTGGGATTGTTTAGTCTCCAGAAGAGAAGAATGAGGGGGGATTTGATAGCAGCCTTCAACTACCTGAAGGGGGGTTCCAAAGAGGATGGAGCTCGGCTGTTCTCAGTGGTGGCAGATGACAGAACAAGGAGCAATGGTCTCAAGTTGCAGTGGGGGAGGTCTAGGTTGGATATTAGGAAACACTATTTCACTAGGAGGGTGGTGAAGCACTGGAATGCGTTACCTAGGGAGGTGGTGGAGTCTCCTTCCTTGGAGGTTTTGAAGGCCCGGCTTGACAAAGCTCTGGCTGGGATGATTTAGTTGGGAATTGGTCCTGCTTTGAGCAGGGGGTTGGACTAGATGACCTCTTGAGGTCCCTTCCAACCCTGATATTCTATGATTCTATGATTCTATGGTGAGCTGAGGGGAATCAAAAACAAACAGCTAGTTTCCTGGGGAACAAAAAAATCCCATTTAAGGGAAATCTGAAGTCATTCTGTTAGGCAAGCTGAAAACTACAAGAAAACCAAGAGGCCTTATAACATTCATTTATGCTTTCGAATGGGTAGCAGCACAGAATCGGTGGAAAGACCACCAGGGGAAACAGTGTCATTTTAAATAGTCCCAATCAGAGGAGCACTCTGATTAGTTTGGAATCCAAATAATGTGATTAACAGAAACCACCACATGACTTGGAACTAATTCACCCCACTCCACACTTCAGAAAGTCAACAATGCAATTTTCTAAGATGAGTAATCCAATCCAGTTGTTGTGATGTAACTATTGTTTATGACTTAGTTAGTGTATTTCTCAGATGGTCAGGGGCCACAATCATTTGCCCTGTTGGGTACAATTCCTCTCAGAATGTAAAAAAAGAACATCACCCATCTAAGTGAATTAATGATGCAGAAAGAAAAGTTATCAGTTCATCTCAGGTGGATCCAAAAGGAAGGATATAACTTGCACATTTTCTCAAATCCCTACATTTACCAGCCTTGGAGCAATTTCTGGCAGAGAACCTCTGTCACCATTAGGTAGGGACAAAGAGCTGCTCAGACCACGGAGGAGTTTCCCATCGCACACTGGATGGGGGCAAAACCAGGGGAATTTGGGATTTACCTTTATACCTTAAATATTTACCAAACACACATACAAACTACACCCTTTAGGAACTCTGGGAAGGGGAGGGGAGCATTGAGAACACAGCACAAGGCAGGCAGCAGGAGCATCTGCTTTCAGATTCCCAAGAGAGAGGAGGAGGAGAAGAGAGAGGTTTCATATAATTAGATTTCAAAGGAAACCACAGGGCAGGAGAAATGCATTCAGATTTTTAATTTATTTCAAATTTTATTTTGGAGGTGGGGGGGGGGGGGGAAGAACCCAAGAGTGAGTAAGGGGCCTCCAGAAAGATCCATTTCCTTTGCTTCACCATCAGGTCACCAAACTGTTGTTTTTACATTATAGCGTGAATACCAGGTGGTTCGTGCAGCTACACCCCACTCAGTAACACTTGGGCTTCCCATTTTCACACTAAGTAGGAATAATTTTGGCATTTTTAAAAAACAATTATAATTACTTTGGGTACAGCAGGATGCAAAATATCATGAACAAATATTCTTTGGGTGTATTCTGGGTTCCATTCAAGCTGTTCCCCATCTCTGAAACAGCAAGCATCAGTTTTGCAGCTACTCATTGCTATGAAGTTGACAAGCAGCAATAGGAAACTGGATATCCAGAATATTAGGTCTTTGGGTTGTTTTCATTTTAAAAATATTTACTAAGAATCCAGGGCAAAATTCTGCAAAAGACTTCAGTAAATGTGGTTTTTGTTTTAACCGAAAACCAGAAGCCTTGGGCTTAATTATCTTCTTGCACAGCTAAAGTTCATAATCAGAATTCAAGGCTTCACAGAAAATCCCCCATGTTAATATCGCTGAAATGGGAAAGGGCAGGTGTGGGTGTTTAATACAGGGCTGGGGGAGGAGGTTGGGTGTGTATGGAAGTGGAAAAGCATATAGAACTGTAAAGCACAAATACCGTGGGGGAAGAGGTATATAGCTCCACAGTTTTTGGACAGGTCAGTTGGTTTTGTTTTTTCTTTAGTGATTACATTCAGAAAAAGCAGAGATTTTGCTAGAGGCTGTTCACGACGCCCGAGAGAAATGACTAAAATCAAGGCTAATTCACAGACAGCTCTGGCCTACAAACATCAGAAGAACTGTGCAGAGCAGAATAAATATTTACAGATTCTGCCATAGCTGAATGTTTCTGGTAAAAGCATGTAGCGTTTACTGTATCTATAAAGAGAAAGAAAACTCCCAAAAACTAAACTATCCAGAAACCTATTTACAAAGATTGGATTATAAAACACAGAGAATAGGAAAAAATGGGTGGAGGGGTGCGCTGTCGGGAGCGGGGAGTGAATCTTGGCTTTTTTAGACATAAAACAACCCCTTGCCTGGATTCCAGAGAATGCATGGAGAGATTAAGGAATTTTAAAATGCAATTTAGGGAACACAGGGGAGAATTTGTAGAGAACCTTGTATATCAGTATATTGCTGAAGGAGCGGTGAGGCCGCATAGTGCTGTGAACTTCAAACCCAAGGGAAAGGCAGGGATTTAAAAATATAAACTGCTTAGCTGGCTTGCATCTTCAAAATGTCATGTGAGAGAGGAAATTTTCATTTTTAATTGAAAATGGGAATCGTAGCACTGATTAAGTCAAGCATAGTATAGACATGCACTGTGCAAGCTTCCCCCACAGAGCTCTGCCAATGCACCTTGATCCTGACCTGCAACACTCCCTGCTATTCCAGTGCTGGACCTCCTGGGCAGAGAGAGAATCACATCAATTTGTCATTGTGATGATCTTGGTTATGAGATGAGACCCAACTGCCAGTTAGGACAGAGATCACTGAAATTCACTACATTTGACCTGAGCAGCATTTGAAGCCTGGACTCCAGAGAGGTAAATTAGCATCAATGCTGAACAAAACCTCCCTTTTGATGCATCTTAAAGGTGAAAATAGTTGGGCAAATAGAAATTCAATGGGGAAGGGTTCATACTGGGGGAAATTGTGGGTGCTTAATTTAAGCATCAGATGTCTCTGTCAAGGAAGGCCAGTATTTCTCACAACAGCCTATTAAGTTTTCAAAGGCGAGGAAAAAATTCCTTGCATATGTGAGATATTCCACTTACTCTAAATAAGCACTTTTTTATGTAATAAATACTGTTTTATGGATATCAATACATAACACATAGTGTCACCTTGTCTTGCCTTCCCCAGAGAACACCACATTGCTCTGCAGTGAAAACTGCTGCTAAGAGGGTTCAAATGACTCCCTCCTTCATCACAGGGTTGGGGAACCTGATCTCTCATTAGAGAGAGGAATATTTGGGAGCATTTGGATGTGCTGCCCAGAATTGGCCATGCTCGGATTCTGGAGTTAGAGGGAGCAGGAGAGAGTCCCAGAAGTAGCTTCTCCATTCCCCCCCATCACACCAGGCCCTCCTGATCTCTGCAGAGCATATTATCTAGGCAATGAACTGCCTCTTTCTCTGTGCAATCAAAACAACAAGAGAAACTGGATATAGAAACAGGACTTACCTTGGAGCCACGCTCATTAAAGATTATCTCTACATCAAGGATTTTGCCGAACTGCTGCAGAGAGACAAGAGAAGAAAGATTTATTCCTTGCTAGCCACTTCCCCTCTCTTCATTTTTGTCCGCTTTACACATGAAAGAAGGGAGGCGGGAATCCTTCCATTTCTGACTCACAAGTGAGAGCACTAAATCCCAGTGACAACCCTAGAGCTGCCCCAATTCTCTGGGGCCCTCAGACTCTCTCTCGGTCACAGACCCATTGGTTTCTCTTGACTTTTCTCTTCTCTCAGACTGTATTTCCAGAACAGTTTTAGGTCTTGTCCTCACTCATATTTTCAACAATCTCCCTCCTCCCCCATTCTACTGTTTCCTCTCAGACTAGCGACACCTCCCAAATGTAGTCACATCATGCCATCTGCCTCCTGAAAGGGCTGTGACAAAGAGAAAGTGAATTGTAATCCTACTTCTCTGAAGAGGATAATCACACAGGACTCCTATTCTTGGGAATTATCTCCCTGCATAAGACAGATAGGAACTTCCCTAAACTCTTAGCTATTTTCAGGTTTGGCAACCGTAAAATGTTCAATAGTCATGAGTAAGACTATAGGAAATAATGAGCTTGGCGAGAAATTTTTTGAAAAGATTAAATCATGTTTTTAACTCCTCCACCCACCCTCGAGGCATGTGTGTGAGACCATCAGTGTTGCTAACGCTCGCACATTTATCATGAGTAACACAATTTTCACCCCTGCAGCAGGAGCTCTCTCCAGAGGGCTCACCTGAGATCAGGGCGGCGCTGTACAGACTCACAACTCAGCACAGCCTCTGTCCTGAAGCTCTTGCTAACTAGTACAAATGATAACGGTAAGTGCGATGTGGGAGTTGGAACTGGGATGCACCAAATTATATTTACACACACTCACTGATGACTTCCAGGGGAAAGGCACTGTAGCTCATTAGCAAAGCCCTAAGGCATCCAGTCCTCCAGAAATACTAATGTTACACTTCTAGAATGAGGCTTGCTTTCTGAAAAGTTAAATCAATATCTGACCTCCCAGGAACATACAAAGGCTGGGTCCTCCACTGTGTGGATACAGCAGTAACTCTTTCACAATGCTTTCAAACACACATGACAGTAAAAGTGCTCTCCGCATCTCGTCCTTTAAGGGACAGCTCAGATCAACCAAAATACAAACACCAAAAATGCAATAAAAACGAAAACATCCAGACTCACTTCTGAATATAATGTTTTGGCATATTAAGTAATTCTAACAATTACAGTCATTCCAGCGTCCTTACATTAACTATATATTATATTCAAAAATTCTCCTGAATAACCATAATACATTAAAAAAATGTCAAAAAAAGTTACCTTTGAAAAATCAGTCACTCAAAAGTTAGGAAATGCCAGAACTAAGATTGCCTGTATAACTTTAATTCAGCCCCCTTGTGCATAGGCATTAGGATTCAGTCTAATTTTGTGATCTCTCACTGTTTTTTCCACAGGACCCTTGCCTCATTCAGCATGGTAGTTATTGAGGCTGTTGTCTATAGGACCCATCTAATTTGTTGCAGAGTTGGAAGGTATCTAGTGAATTTTCTTTGTACCCAATTTGAGAGACCTGGGGACAGATTTACAGAAGGGCTGAGAACTCACAACAGCAAGTGAAGGTGATTGGAGTTGTGCTTTAAACATATAAAGTGATGTAAAAATGCCAAGTACCCTTAAAAATCAGGCCTTAGGCATCTCAACTTGTGCACATGAAATTAGTGGATATTTCTGACAATTTTAGACCTCTCTCTCTTTGTGTGCCAGTTTCCCATCTGTAAAATGGGGATAACAACACAACTTCACTCTACAAGGGTGTTGTGTAGATAAATTCATTAATGTTTGTGAAACACGTAGATACTATAGTGAATTCACAATAGGAATGGGCATGAGGAAATTAATTTTGTATTCAGTGCAAAGTTTGGATGTGTGTTAAATAAGGCTTGGGGCTACACACTGAGGAAGACAAAGAGAAATATTTAATAACTCCCAATTCATTGGGCAATGTCCACCATTTTGAGCACTGAATAAGGCAGGGGTGCTTTGGAAAAATGCGTAATTAGGGTTGCCAACTTTCTAGTTGCACAAAACCGAACACCTTAGCCCCGCCTTTTCCCTGAGGCCCCGCCCCCACGCACTACACTCCCCCTCCCTCGGTGGCTCGCTCTCCCCCACCCTCACTCACTTTCACTGGGCTGGGGCAGGGGGTTGGGGTGCAAGAGGGGGTGAGGGCTCTGGGGTAGGGCTGGGGATGAGGGGTTCAGGGTGTGGGGCTCTGGGCTGGAGGGGGCTCAGGGTCTGGACTGGATCCGGGGATGAGGGGTTTGGGGTGCAGGAGGGGCCTCTGGGTTTGGGGGGGGGTCTCAGGACTGGGGGCTCAGGCTTACCTCCAGCGGCTCTCAGTCAGCGGCGCAGAACGGGGGCTAAGGCAGGCTGCCTGCCTGTCCTGGCACTGCACTGCGCGCCCCCCCCAGAAGCAGCCAGCAGGTCCAGCTCCTAGGCGGAGGGGCCAGGAGGCTCCACATGCAGCTCTCACCTGCCGGCACCACCCCACCCAGCTCCCACTGGCCAGGAACCGGCCAATGGGACTGCGGAGCCGGTGCTCGCGCAGCACACAGAGCCCCATGCCCCCCGCCTAGGAGCTTCTGGGGCGCAGCGTGGTGCCAGCCAGGACAGGTAGGGACTAGCCTGCCTTAGCACCGCAGAACCACCGACCAGACTTTTAATGGCAGTGCTGACCGGAGCCGCCAGGGTCCCTTTTCGACTAGGTGTTCCGGTCGAAAACCAGACACCTGGTCACCCTATAATTAATCATGCGAAAGATGAGATATATGCTTTGCCAGAGGGTTTCACAGCTATTTATTGACAGCATAGAAATGTATCAGGGGGTAGCTGGGGGTTCAAATTTCAAGTACTGGAGGGAAGCATACGCTAAATAGCTATAAACACTTCTGCCCCCACCTTCACCCCTAATTTCTGCCCCCTCCCCACTCTGCACCCATCTGTGCCCCCTGGTCCTACCCTCCTCCATGCCTTTGCCTATACACCCTCACCCTATGGCTCCTTCCTCCCTTCACTCCCCCCAAACTCCTGCTCCTCAGCCCTCTGCATTCCAGTCAGGCTGTTTCTTCCTCCTCCACACTGCCTGGACACTGGGGCAGGGGTGCCGGAAGGAGGACAAAGAACAGCACCACTGGCTGCTGGGAGCTAGGAGGAGCAATTGAAAGAGAATTGCAGCTCAGCTGCTGCAATCCTGGGATGGAGCATGCCCAGAATAGATGGAATCTTCAGAAAATTTATCTGCCAGCAGCTAACAAGTGCTTACTGAGCTTGCATAAACGGCAATTTCCAGAGGCCTATAACTTGGCCCAGGTTGGGATGATTTTCATGAGGATGGCAAAAGACAAATCCCTGACACTTGCGCAACACCCCCTGCCAAATTTCAAGTCCCTGCTCCAGATATACAACAAAATGGTTGTAAGAATTTTTTAACATAGGCAATACAACATCTTTTTCCTGAATCTCATTTTTGGAAACAACTAGACCATTTTAGCTGAAACTTTCACAAAAAATCAGGCAGTCACCCAGGATGGAAAATTTCAGCCTACGTGGTAAAAGTTTTGCAACGTTATAAGCAACTGAAAACAGGGTCTTATACCGGAAGTGTTAGGTGAAGATGGTAGTGACACCTATTATTAAGGTTGCCCATAATATACATGTACATAAAACACACACAAAAGAACATTATTTAGGTTGCAGAGTCAAGCACTTGACAGGAAATGCCAGATTTATGGTTGCCCACTCAAACTTAATTCTATCCCCCTGTGCATCCATCCTGTGCACTGAATGGAGGCAGGCGCCCTGTGGGGAAAAGATATGTGATCATGTAATTAAAGACCGGCATAATGCATAACAGAAGGGACCAGAACTAAGGTTGTGTGAGCAACCACAAATCTGGGATTTCCTAATTTTTAAGTGCTTCATTTTGCAAACCTAAATTACTTTCTCAAGAGATTTTTTTAAAATATAATAATATTCTAGAGCCTGGCTCTTCTACCCCACTCTTCCCACTAGTGTCTTGCTGCTGTGGCAGTGTCATGAGCCCAGCCTTAGGATGTTCACGTGTTTCATTATTTTTTCATGCTGTCAAAATTATCCTGAGGAATGAAAAGCAGAGAAGTGAAATGGTGAATTTTAACAGTTTATATCTCAGCAAAAGGTTGAGTAGAATCTCACAGTACAAAGAAAAGACATTTCTGTAGCTGGAGAGTGTTCCTCCTGCCAAATATCAACAGCTTTCTGTAAACAATGGAAGAGTGAGTGAGTTTTTTATAATGGAAAATATTAGGCAATTTAACCATAGGGGTTGTTACCAACACCCCCATTGTATTTTTTTTAAAGTTGTCAACAAGTGACCTTCTCCTGGGCGCTCACTCTCAGCCTCAGAATGGCCCTACAAGCAGTCCCTTGCCTCATTTTCCCCCTTCAGGGGCTTCCTCAATAATTCAAACACTTCCATCCATTCCCATCCCTTATCAGCTTCTGCTTTAACAACTTAACAAACATTCATAATAAAGTTTTCAAGTCCATCCATTCTCCAAGGCCTTTCCAAGTTTCAGGTTTCTCTGCTGGAGCCTATTCGCTCCCAGCAGCCTCTCTTCTCCCTGAGAACACTCTCTGCAGCTTCCTCCTGCTCTTATAGTGAAATCAAGTGATTCCTGCTCAGGTATGCTTCCTTAGTAATCAGGGTTGGCTGACCCCAGTCCTCTAGCCCTTAAGGTGTAAGCCACCCTATGGTAGCACAATGAGGCTGTGGTTAATAATAAGGCCTGTACAGAGCACAGCCATATTAACAGCAGTCAGATGGGACTACAACTCAGTATTCTTCTTCTGGCTTGCAGCTTATGCACCTGTGGGGAAGGGTGGATGTGTCTTTCTGTCTCTCATTTTGTTTCCCACCCAGAAGTCATGAAGAAAGGAGCTTTTTGTGAGAGTTCTTGCAGCAGAG